TTAAATGCTTATAGACAGGGAGTAGAATAATATGGAGCAAGAACGCCGTAGTCGAGAGAGCTCAATGGAAATGATAAATCTTTTTAATTGCGACATTTCGATTTCTATTCGCAGAACGTGCAAGGTTATCGATAAAATAAAATAAGAAAAAATTATATTTGAAATTTGCATTGCCAAACGGAATGACAATTTATAGAAAAAAGTGTTGCCTAATTTCTCGCGCTTCGTTCAACGTACTCCTTGAAGTAATTCCCAAATGGTTCTGGCTTCGAGCAGATAATATGGCTCTTGTTGAACTGATTTATTAAGTAATTCAAAATACAGAAATATCTCTTCTCATTTGTTCTTTTTTAGATGTATTTGTTTTGTCTATATTTACTTTTGTTATTTACGTGTTTTTTATATATCCTACTATTTTTTCTCTATATTATTGGGAATGCTAAGTAAAGCTTCTCAGTTATGATGTCACTTCGTAGATGTTTATGCCGTATTTACTTATTATAGCTCCAAAAATCCATCTTGCTCAAATGTTGAATAGTTTTATGCAACGCACATAAATCGTAACTATGCCACGGCAATCCAAAGATGTTTTCTATATGATTATTAAATTGGATATTCCACAGATCTGTCAAATGCGGTGCGGATAACCCAATAAAAACGAGCTGCACTAGCTGATAATGGGAAAGGGAGGTGGGGGAGGGGAGTGGGTAGTGCACACCTCTTCAACGCTGATTTCCCTGGACATTATCCTTTAGCCGAATGCCAATAAACGAAAGAGTTACTGCTATCTGCTGCTCTGCAGAGGCATCGGCGTCGCCAAGCTAATCTGCTAGCTGTCAAAAGTCGCAGAAACAATTGGAAATGACAACAAATATGAAGCAATGCACACACACACACACACAAAGAAAGGACGCACACATTTTGTACATTGTCCATATAAGCTGAGCCAAAGCAAACATACATAACACAACACACACACACACATGTGAAGTAAGTCTTCAATTGTGAGGCGAACACTTCCTCGACGAAAACTGCTGACAGTTGCATAAACAATAAAAGGCCACCAAAAAGGAACAAGAAAAAAGAGAGAGCGAGAGCGAATGCGGTCAACATCAAAAGGAGCACTACAACTGCTAAGCTGCTGCAGAGTGTGTGTGTGGAAGGGAGACGGGGCAACAACTCTCTCTCTCTTAGTAGTTTCACTGAAGATGAAATACCCTTTAAAAAGTGCTCTAAAACTGCTCACATATAAATTCAATTGTTAAGTTAAAAATCAAAAACGAAGCGATTAAAGCAATATGAAAATATATACAAGCTGCGACTCATTTATTAACTGCTGCAAAAAAAAAATACGCATTCATTACAAACTCAATATGCGCGACAACACCAAAATACCCCATTTTCAAGGGAATCACAAAAATAGGATATGTAACAAGAAACTAGAACTATTACTAACTGCACTCACACACGCACGCGAACACACACACACACGCGCATTGTAATGCACAACCATAAACGACAAGTGTGTGTGTGTGAAGAGTGTAGGCGGAGGCTGGTTGGCTGCTTGCTAAAACAACAATCTGACATTTTTTGCGCTTTGACAACAATTTCCCTCGCGGGCAGAGAGAGAGAGAGAGAACTCCAACACTAACACCAAATGCGAATGCGAAAGCAAAGCCGAATTTAACGGTACAAACGGCAGCAGCCATGGGAGAAACATACGAAAAAATACCAAATATAAAAACAAAAATGCAACAGTCTACACTGACAATTAAATAAAAAACAGTTGTAAAATTAAGCAAATAAAAATTATTTTGTATTGTTTTCAGTATAATTTATATATTCTCTTAAGAGGAAAGAAGCTGTTTTTTTTTTTTTTGTTGTTGCTTCAATTCACAAAATACACAACAAAAAGTAAATCGCTAATACGTTGTCCACATTAAAAATGGGTATATTCATTGTAAGTATTTATAAACCGAATACTTTACTTGTTGGATAGCAAATGTTTGTCTGAGTGTATAGAAAGCGCGAGAGAGAGAGTAGGGGGAGGAGAGAATTGGAAGAAGTCGTGCGCTCTTCGCCATTTGTCGTTAGTCTTTTGCCGCATCACAAAAGCTCGAAATTGATTGTGTAAATAAGTAAAGGAAAATGCCGTTAGTTTACGTTTGACAAGCTTTGCAAACGGAGAAAAGCAGCAGAAAAGAAGTTGAAAAGTACCAGAAAAGACAGAAAAGAAGCTCAACGAAATTAAAAATGGAATTCGCTCGTTAGCAGTTACAGTTACTTCAGTTTTTTTGTCAATGGACTTTACTGCGAAGTATTCTGGCCAAAAATTGGTAGTTGAATTTTGTAATGAAAGAATGAAAAACACACACACAAAAAGGCTGATTTATTGAATGGCCAATAAAGATGTATGTGTGTGTTGGTGTGCTTGTATTAATGGCTAAATTCGACTCAAGATTTTGCTTGAAACTGTCGCGATTTGGCAACAAATAAATCAGTGTGATAATGCGACTTCTATTGATCCCCATTTGTAGTTAGTTTGAGTATCTTTATGAAGCCTATCTTAAATGGGAGCTAATTTGAGTATCATTCATAGAGACTATCTTCAATCTTAATATCTTCGCCTTTTACATATTTAAATAGATTGAGAATTGATTGGAAAATTAGAAAAGTTGTACAAAAGAATGCTAAACGGTAAAAGATAGAATATTCGACCACGTAAGGTATATATATATATATATATTTGATCAGCATCAAGAGGGTCGATAGAGCCATCTGCCCGCCCATCTATCTGTTATCATTTCTTTCTCGTTTTCCTCAAAATCGATTAAAATCGATTACCTATAGCAATAAAAACCACAAATTCAAATACATTTCCTTTCCAATTGACTATAAATCTTGACAATAAATAATAAAATCGTAATCATGCTTAAGCATTTATTCATATTTACAGGGTATCTCATCTCGAGCTCTCTCTACTACAGTATTCTTTACGATTACAGTCTATTTTGAAATTGCCACACAGCTGCGAGTACAAAATTTAGCCAAATACCTGCTGAGAAACATGGCAAACACAAGCCAAATACTTGGCCAAACAATTTGCCTATCTGCAAAATTGACTTTCCTTCCCCAATGCGGATATAAACTTACATATATATTTATATAATATATATATGTATGTGTAAAAGTGCTTAGCTGACAATCCATCAGGAGAGTTTTCCGCTTTGGCGATAAGCAGTCAGCCTGCGTCTAGCCTGAGTTTTAGGCGCCATCTCAACTCTTGGCAACTGCTCAAAGTTTGCTCAGTTCTTTTTGCCATTGCCATTGCCCTTTTGGCCAGTTTACACCTAATTTTCAGCCAGGCTACACTTAAAGAAAAATACGTACAAAGAAATATGTACTTTCCAAACTATTTAAGTCTACTCATAAATACAAAAGTAGATTTTTTTTTTTGCAGGTTGTCAAAGCGTAGTCGGAATCGGAATATAATCCAAAAATTTGACATTTTTATAGAGCCAGTTACACAAATCAGTTTATTTTGGAAAGTGTGCTTCTAAATTGAATAAAAGCACATTTTGATTGAAAGGAAATTTGCGTTAAACTTCAGAGACACCAAAAACTCCAAGCAGTCCCTGGCTAGGACTCGGACTCGATCTCAGACTGAGTCTAATGCTTGAGACACCCACAATTTAACAAGCAATGTGGCGTCGCTTACCCCCTAACCCTCCCCCATCCCCCCTTCTCCACTTCCTAGATGTATCAGTCAATGTTGGAAAATTAGTTAAAGGCTTGGCCAAAAGCAACTTTCTTTTACGTCAAGTTGGTCAACAAGTTGCCAAGTATTTGCCAAATAAGTCAAGTTAAAAGGGACCACTGATAGGTGAGGGGCTCAGCGTTGGCGGGGGCTGATTGGGGGCATGTCAAGTCATTGAGGCCATTCCTTTTTTATTTGACTGCTTGCGGTTATAGTTGAACTTTTAAGGAACTTTAATATTAACTCTGTCTTTAACATAAGAGTAAAGATTAGGATAGGAAATTACAAAGTAAATGATATGTGTATAGATAGTCATAGTCGATGTGTGCAAATAGCTATATATATATAAAATGAATATAAAGTTAAAAATATGCGAGCATTTTCGAGTAGAGAAGTTTTTATTTGTAACCGAGAATTTTATTTGCATTAATATTTATTATATTATAATAATTACATGATTGTTGATTATTTTTAGTGCATTCAATCTAAAAATTAAACTATTGACTCTCTTTTCCCAAAGAAAAGGTGATTTGTATTACAAGTTACAGATTCATATATATATATTTATATAATAATTGTACAATCTTTCTGTATTGAGAGAAAGAAATACATTTAAGTTTTGTTCTACTTTTGTGCCCGTTTTATTTTTATTTTGCTGAAACCCAACATTTAACAAAATCCAGTTAAGTATTTAAAAATCGGAAGCTGTAAGTTTTGATTATCTACTTTTGCAGTTGTATATAATTTATATAGTGTATATATATATAATTAATATAGATTAAAGTTTATCTCTTATGGTATTTGGCTTTCAAAATCCCTTCTCATTTACTTGTATATATTCTTTAGTCATAGCTCGCAAATATAATGTATAATATATAATTGCATCTTAGGTACCCTTTGACATACATTTAGCACATTTAAGTATTTTCCATATATTTGATTATACATATGCATATGTAAATTTTTATCTTTGATTAGACGAGTAATTGATACAACGGAAAGCACATTAAGTAGTTGGTTTTTTCTTTGATAGTTGTAAATAGTTTTTGTTTTTGTGTTTGTTTCTTGCTCGCATAAAAGACAGTTCCACAAATAAATAAAGTTTCTTAAACTATAATTAATATTTTCTACATATTAAATTTAAATCAAACTGAAGAATTCTCATAAGAAAAAAAAAAACAAAAGGAAAAATAAACAAAAAATAAATAATATAAAAAAAATTGAAAAAATAACGTTTCTCAATTCAAATTTAATGTTTTCTGATTTTCTTTATATAAAATATTATTCATATCTTTGTAACTATTTTTGCGCTTAGCGTCTGCTTCAACTTCTTCTTCTTCTTCTTAAATATATATCCCTGCAAGTTACCAGATAAACTGTAGCCAAGTGAAATCCTGTTTGGAGCCTTGAAACTTTCCCCTGTGTTAGTTGAGGCGCAAACCATAGCTGCGCAACAGCTGTGTCTGTTCAGCGCTTACAGAAAGCTTTAGTGTTTGGTTGTCGTCTTCGCTGTGGCACCCAAGTTATTGGCCGGTTCGTGCAACGGCACCCACTGAGCGGTTGCGTTCTTGGCTCGAAACATCTCCTCAAAGAATATCTTCTCGTCGTGCGGCACCTCGGCCGAGCTGCCAATCAAAGCACGACCCAATATCTCATTGGAACCTGTGTTGGAAATTGCGAAAGCTTTCATTAGTCGGAATTACTTTTAGTACAGTTACAGATTCAATGCAACCCGTGTTGAATATGTAAATTAGAAAAAAACTTCCTTTGGTAAAGCTATTTATACACACAGAGAAACATTGTAAATATTGATTCATGAGCATGGATAATCTTAAATTAAGAATGGACTATATTAAAATAATATTAAAATAAAATATATTATCATATATAATTTATATATTTGCGCGCTTTTTGCACTTGAATCGATAATATTCTCTCTACTATTGTTTTCCCCATTTGTATAGTGTTGCTCACCCAAAACTCCATCGTGAATTACTGTAAACTCCAGCAGGCAATTCTTGAGCGTCTCCTTGCCCACATCGAAAGCGAGCGCCTCATTGTAAACTGGATTAACGGTATTCCGTTGCACGCCCGTCTTGCGTTTCTTTATCTTCTTGCCACTCGGCCCGAGGAGCGAGACTTTGACGTACGGATCCGATGAGTTGCGTGCATCGTCCACAATACGCAAATTTCGTGCCTTGATGAGCACAACCATCAAACGCTCCGCGGACGGCAGATAGGCCAGCGAGACCATTATATCGCCCAGATCCACCTTCATGTCCTGTGCCGAGGCCGATGTGAGTGGCGTCCACAAACTGAGCTGCTCGCTCAAATCCAATGTGGCCAGTTGCAACTTAGTGCCGCCAATGCAAACGTGCCGCGAATATGCATCGAAATCATACAAAAGAATCTCCACGCTGCGCTTATCGATGACCCCAGCGTTGACCTCGAACACAAATTGCTCATCGAAAACTGTTGAAGCAGAGCAGATTGCATAATTGCATAATTAACTTTTGTGTTAATTTAGTTATTGTTAATTTGATTTATCTTATAGTTAAATGAAGCTGTGAGCTAGAAGATTAACTAAAATCTACTTTAAAAATCAATTAAACAAAATAAAAGTTAGCGTTTTGTTGTCGAGAGAACTCGTCCAGAAGATTCCTTTATCTCAGCTTCCAAATACTTATTACACTCAGAAAAAATTGATTTATCGAACAACAAAAGCTTGGAAATCAAACATTTTTTTCTGAGATTTAGAAATGCAAGCTGTGGTTCTAAAAAACCTTTAATTTAAGAAGTTTCCTCTATATATATATTATTTAAAAGTAAAGCAATTTACGAAAATTAAAGCTATTTGTTTTGTGAGTGTAGCATTGCTGATAATGCCAAATTGTCCATATATTTTGCTCGTTTTTGATTGAAATTTCCACTCACCTGGATTGAGGGTCTTCTTGTGAATGCGCGTCTGCCAAAAGTTCTTCTTGTCGGGCAGCAAACGTATCTTGGCATAGGGATCGGCGGTGCCACTAAATTGCCGTGGCTGCAAGTTCTGTGCCTCCAGCAGACGCACATTGAGCAGACCACCAACTGGATCATAGCTGAGGCACACATGCAAGTTGCCACGCAGCTCATTCAGGGGTGCAGCGGGGCAAGCGTGTTTCGGCTGCGAGTTCTGCAAAAGTGATTTAAATTATTTTGACTAAATTCAATTAAGAAATCACAGCATTTTTGCGTGAAACAATTTGACGCTTAAATAAAACCTTAAACTTTCATACAAAGTATTACAGAAGTCAGCTTTATAAAGTGACTGAAATCTCATCCCAGACACGACACTCAACGAAATACCTTACAAATCCTTAGGGCTTTTGTTTTGACAAGTAATTTACTCTTGTGGCAAACACAGCTGAACTCACTTGGAAATTACACTGCTTTATTAAACAGATATGCAACTTGAGACACTCATCGAAAATAATACATTTTAAATTCATACTTTTTTCAATTCATAATTTTCACCATATAAGAAGTACCCCAAAAATCGAGTTCAGCAAAGGCTCAATGCCATAATCAGACTTGGGATTGGACAATCTCCATTAGTAAGAGTTAACTCAATCTCAAGGAAACACCTTGATAAACTTCAACATAACTCAAACTCAAAAAGACTTCAGATCCCTTCACGTACTACTGAGGAGGTCCCAGAGGATTATCCACTACTCTAAATCCCCACAACTCTTAGAAAGTACTTCACTACAATCAACCAATGCAAATCTAGTTTAACAAACTACTCCTGTCTAATCAATCTTTAACACTATCCAAATAATCAATCACCGTTGCAATACTATGTAAAAACTGAAACGATTTGCAGCCTGTAGCTTGTCCGATTTCCAATTTAAATTCCTATATTAGAACTGCGGTATATTTTACTCACGCTGCGATAGAGGGTCATGTCGATTTTGGTGTGATCCAGCTTGGCGTTCATGGAGGAGACCCTCGGCCGGGTGGGATTCATGGCGAGGACAACGTGCTTCTCGGAGCGGGCGATGGGCACCGATGTGGTCGAGCAGTAGGACAATGTATTCGACTTGAGACTGCCTGTGGGCGAGGTGGGTGTGGGCGTGGCCGGGGCTGAATCCAATTCGGTGGTATTGGTGGCATTGGACACCTGCTGTTGCACGGCTGCCGTTGACGATGAAGTCACCGAAGCGGGCACCCAAAAGGCCGGATCAGCATCCTCCGACTTGAGTGACGTGGGACTCAAGTTGCCCACATTATTGTGTGGGTTAAACTTGCCACCGTGTACATTATCCACATTATTATAGCCCACTGCGCCAGAGACAAGCGCCTCCCGGCTGCAAATTCCACAAATAACGCATTATACAACAAGCAACATTTTGGGGGAATTGAGTCGTGGGGGAGTGGGAAAGCAGGGAAGTTTACTTACCTTTGCTGCTCCTCATCGTTCTCGCTGGCAGATTCGAGCAGGTTCTGCTCGAACCAGTTGAGGCGATAGCGTTTCGAGCAGGTGGTGTAGAGGGCAGCACCCACCGCTGAGACAACCAGAAACGACACCGACGCATAGACGCCAATCTGCGTCAGCGACAGCTCCTCCTCACGTATAACAATATCCATCCCTCTCTCTCTCCCTCTCACTGTCTCTGTGAATGAGAGCAAATCAAAAAAAAAAATATATTTATTTTTTTATATACCTCTTAAATTTTAGATGCGTGCATATTGCGCAACTAAGTTTGTGGCCTGTGCAAAATTTAAAAGAGTCTTGCCAGGAGTTTGAGATACTTCATAAATTTATTTATTATGACTATTTTTTATTTTATTTTTTTGTCTTAAAAAGACTTTCCTTGAGTTTGGGATAGTATTATAATTATACGCTAAACCCATTCAAAATTGAGTTTGTCCTATTTCAGGAACGATATCAGCTATTATTTATTGGGTTTTAGAATATTAATAATACATAATAATAACAAACATTTAAAATAAAAGTGACAAATTAAATTATATAAAATTAAAAGTGAGAAATTAAATTGAAAGTTTAAATTGAAAGAAAAATAAATAATCAATTAAAGGATATATTAAATCTGGCGGTATTTAAATGTAAAATGTAAATCCGTAAAAAATCCAATCAAACCAAAAATTGTTAAGCGCTATTGTTAGTTTATTAATAAGCAACGTAAAAAGTTTAAATGCAAAGAGAGAGAGAGAGAGAGAGAGGGAGAGAGAAAGATAAAGAGTGAGACATAAAATAAGTTAAGCAATTCCCTGAAACTTTGGAGTCAGGTAAGATTACACAGAGCTAAGTTTTCTCACACTCACATCTATCAAGTGCTTTGTTCTATAACTTGTATTTAAGTTGATGTAAAAAGAAATACTTACATTGTTCTTAACAAAGGCTTTAATTGCTTTTCGCCTTAATTTGAGTGGGTCAATTGTGCTACACAAAAACAAACATGCATAGGACAATAATCAAAGTTCCAAGAATATACAAATAAATATTTATTCGGCAATATATATATATAAATATATTTATATATATGAATGTGCTTTCATTTGGCAAGAGAAAAATACAAATTCTTTTAGCTGTAGTATAAAAAGTAAGAACCCAATTAGTTGGTGTCCTGCACAGGTTAATGGCAACACAACTACTTGGGCATAAAAGTTTCATTAACAAAGGTCAGCGCATAAAAGACTGAGGAGGCACCCTATGAATAAATCAAGGTAGCGCAGTCAAAGTAAAAACTCCCCTCAACCCACCCTTATCCACTTACCCCACTCCCTTAGGCCAAGGGAAACCCGCTCAGGCGTACTCAGTTTTTTTGGCTTATTAATTGCGCTGCTTGAGGCAGCTTCCTTTGGACTAGGAAGCAGGACCTGCTTTGGACTGACGTGCACGTGCTGGCGTCTTGAGGCAAGGCCTGTCTGCCACAAAGCTGGCACTGGCAGCGGCAGCAGGTGGCAAGCAGGTGGCAAGCAGGTGGCTTGTTGGTAATTAGCTGTGCCAAAGTGAGCAACTTTAGGCGGGCTGAAAAACAATTGCTGTCAAATTGAAGCAAACAAAAAGTGAATAAGCAAAGCCCGCTGATAACAACTTTTCAAGCTCGACAAATTTATTGCCTCATCCTGTTAATTAATAAACACTTTGAACCTTAACCGTAAAACCTTTTGCCCCTTTTTGCTTCTGTTATTTCACACTTCTTGTCTCTCTCTCTCTCTCTCTCGCTTTTTGGCCAATTTGTTCTGGAGTTGCTTATTTATTTATGACAACTTTTTGCTTGTCAGCAAATGGAATTGCAATTGAATGAGGTGCACGTCCCGTGTGTGTGTGGGTGTGGGTGTAGATGTGTGTGTGGGAAGTTCATGCTGAGGTCGTGCCTTAATGATTTATAAGATGGGTCTTTGGCCGAATGATTTATGCTTTTCTTAAAGCTTCATTTTTCATTTGAACCTCGGCCAAAAAGCCAAAAATACCCAGCAAAATCATAAATTTAATTATTTGGCTTCTAGCCGACGTAACCAAGAGAGAAACGAGTTGGGCTTAGCCGACTGTAAAATACTCTGTTGCCAGAGACCAAAAACATGAGACAAAGAAACTTCAGATGATAGATCGATAATGGTAACTATAATCCTTGAAATCCTTTTTGGTAAGTGTGACCAGAAAATTGATTGTGCAATTTTAGGAGTAGGTTCACAGCAATCTACCTTCCTTGTATAGCAATTCTAGAGAGAGGAATGAGCTCTTTCCTAGCTCTATTGTAAAGGATATAGGTGTTATTTTTGTGGTAACGGCAGTAGAATAGCCTAAAAGGTTTTTAAGAATGGTAGGATGAGGTTCTTGGCAACTATCTCCTTTACCTCTAAAATTGAGGCCGGGATATTCGTATATGCGAATTAATTGAGTAAGTCTAGAACAATCTAGTTTCCAAATTTGCTTAGAAATTGTACCACACTTGTGGTTTAATCGATTCGCACTTATCGATGTTATCGATTTCCCAATTTATGTAATTAAAACATATTATAAAAAGAATATACTCTTATCATTTCATTGGCAGAGTATAATGTGGTTAACCTTTCCATATTTTAAAATGTTCTCTCGTCTTGCTCGTAAAACATTTATGCTATTGCACATTTAAAATAATTTAATAACATGATGAATAAATGCCTTTAGTTAATAATTTCATCAACATTATCCAAAATTAAATGCGAGTTAGAAAATGATTTACTTGTAATAAAAATTTGAAATAATACTGTACATTTTTGCACTATTTGATGCATTTTATCAAATAATTATTTTATGTTCCGTATTTTATTTGTATTTTTTATTAAAGTCAACAACAAGTTGTCTACATCCATCAATCAATCAGTTAACCCCAAAGGCATAATTTTTCCCAATGCGCCTGGGTTAAATTGAGGCTCCTCGCATCGCAAATAAATCTCGGCTAAACCAATCATGTCAAATTGATCGGATCGTGGGCGGGCCGCTGTAAATCGATGTCAAGCGAGCATAAACCAAGCCCTCCTCCAATCCTCCTTCTCCTTCAACAGCTATCACATCCCACACTAGTTGCTCACATGTCAGGTTTTCGCCATTTCTGACGAATCGCACATGTGTCGCAGTTTATATGTGTCGAGGCGTACTTTAATGCATTTTAGAACCTTTTAGCTGGAAATGTTTTTTTGGTTGCCATATATATGTATATGCATATACATATATATATTTATATTATGGTTATATATTGTGCTGCCGAGCAGTTTATGACAGTTGCCATAAATTTAAATGTTGTTTTGTGGCTTTTGGCATTGTGGCGGCATTGTTGCTCTGGCTTTATAAACAATTTGCAGGCTTTTATCACATTTTCACTTTTGCTGGACAGACGGAGGGACAGACAGGCAGACAGATAAGAGCCACTATTTCCGCTCCGGACAAAGTCAAGGGCAGTTGAGCAGCTGGCCAGCTCTGGCTGTCAGCCTCGTTGAATTTATTGACTCGCTGACTAAAATTAATTTTATCTAATCGATAAGCTGTTCGGAGGGGGATGGGGAGGAATGGGACCCCCAGCCACAAGTTGGGTTCCACGTGCCTCGTTTCTGATTCGAATTTTCATTCAGCTTCGCTGGCAAATTTCGAAACACAACTTTTTCGCTTTTCATCAAGGAATAGAATTTTGCCAACGGCAAGTGACATCAAATTGCACAATTATGGTCCAAATTATGCTCATTAGTCTAATGAAGTGTTTTGTCATACAAAGTAGCGACCCTCAGCAATCAGTCCACCTCCCACTTGTTTCCAGCTGCTACAAGTCTGTCCATCAAAGCAAACCCTACATTTAATGGGAACAGGCATTTCTAGCCAGTGAAATGTTTTAACTAAACAATTTGTGGCTTTTTGCTTATTGCATTAGAATTCAAAAATTGAGGCAGGCACTGCGAAGGATATAGATATCAATATTGTTAAGTTAAGTCACACACTAATTTAAATATACGACTGCCAGAAGTAACATATTTTATTTGAGTGCACTCGCACAGAAATTGATTTTAAAACACACTTAGAAATGCTCTCTGCAAAAATTTTGTAACTAGAGGAAAAAATATTTTTTTATGAATATTTTAAAATTGAGAAAATAGTTGTGAAAAAACTCAGTAGTAAAAAGGTAATGAATTCTGTGTTAAAACGGCGGAAAGAGTGGATGAGTGGAACTGAAAGTAGGGCATTGGACCACAGCAGAGCTTAGTGGAATAGCAGGAGAGGGAGGTGAATATAGTAGGAATGTAGGATGCAGAAGGGACTGTAGGATTAATTGAGCACGAGTGGTCTAGGACAGAGGTGAGCTATGAATTGTATCTGTGGTCGACTCTGGTCTCGGATCAGCAGTGTTTGAGAGGGGGATTAAAATGGTTGGACAGGAGCATGGAGGGAGAAGTTGTTTTACTCCTAGCATGAAACTTTCACAAGAGACAATTGCTATTATTATGTTTACTAATGTACACATTAAAAAGTTTACAGCTTCTTTGGTCGAAAGCATTGTCATAATTTGATTAGCGCCAATAAGCAGCTTTAATCAGCTTACAGAATTGTTTAAAAGCAGATAAGCGTTTTTTTTTTTACGAAATTTGTTCGTAAGACTTAGAAACAGCACAGTTGTTGTTGAATTGAGGAGAGATAAGAAGTATAGTATAATATTAGGGTGAGTAGAAGGATTTGTTGGTTAAGAGGGACAATTTGTATTGTACAGGATTACGATGGCATATTTGGAGGGTGAGTTGGAGAGTATGAGAAGTGGAGGATTATAAGTAGAATATAAGTAGAAGAAGAGAAGAGAAGTAGTTGTTTAGGAAGACAAAGATTGATAAATACTGAGGGGTGATTTTCGTTTATATATTATATTATCTATAAATTAAAAAGTTTCGCTGAGTTAAGTAGGATAAAGTAGGAATCTAGGGAGAAATAGAGGTGTCATACAAAAACTCTAACAAAAGAGAATCGTTAAGAAAATATTTGACACAATGTTGCTTAAATTATTATGCAAGTTTTAAGATCCAGAGAGAGTAATAATAGTGAAATTCTACGCAGTTTAGCGAATTCTATAAAATAGAATAGTAGAAGTAAAGAAGATTTAAAATAAAATTGTGGCAAATATTTTTTAACGAATATCTTTTTGTAGTAAAAAAGAGCTTGCTGAAAACTCTCCTCCACTTTTACCATCCTAATTATATTCATATATGTAGAAAGTTTACGGCTTGTTTGCTGGAGCGCAATGATATAATTAGATTACCGCGCTTTGAGTGTCGCACCACAAGCAGAGCATGTCCTGCAGACCCAAAGGAGCAGCACAGAAAACAGCTGCCACATCAGCTCAGTTCAGCTATTTCATTTTCACTTTTCTCCCACACACACAGACATTCACACACTGTCACACACCATAAACGACTTGCCACACGAATGTGGCACAAAGGTGTGAACGTGAGAATTTTATCCTTTGGCTCAAAGCTGATACCAGCCACAAATAGGTGGCGTTAAGTATACGCCCAAGTAGACTACAAAGTTGATAAAAGCTTCAAAGACTTTTGTCTGTGTGTATGTGTGTGTGTGTGTGTGTGTAGAAAAGCAGCCAGCAGGCAACAACAAACAACAACAATCTAGCCATCAGCAATTTGTAATGCTGCTATAATGATATGGACTCACATCAACATCAACATCAACAACAACATCATTATCTGTCTGAACTTGTCGCTTAGTCTGTTAATATGTTGCTGACATGGCCAGCAGATTGTTTCTGTTTTTATTTTTTGCGTGTTGTTCAGTTTGCTAGGCGAGTTGATTATTTGCCAGCCACTGGCATTGACTTTGCGCTCTGCCATTACTGAATATTCCCTTGCCACGACAAGCATCAATGACAACAACAACAATAACAACAACAACTGACTGAATGTCTGTCTGACTGGTGGCTGTCCATAGACTTGTGTAATTAGCAGCCAATGAATATTTATGGCTTGTTGGATTTGAAGGCTATTCCTTATTCCTAAGTGACATAAGCAGCTAATGCCACAAGCAGATGTATACATTTGCTGTATCTCCGCTAAATGTCAAGCAGATATATATAAATATATATATCTATTCTCTGTATTACCGGTAAATGCTAAGCAGATATATGTGTTTGCTATAGGTGCCATTAGATGCCAACATCAGCAGAATTCCAACACATTTTATGCTGCCTACTTATTGGGGCAGCAAGAAATTCAATTTTGCAACAATTTGGCGAAAAATGGAACATTTATTTAAGAAATTCAATTAGGGTTCAATTTGAACAACAATGTAAATAGGTATGCTGATAATAAAATATGTGTGCCTTGTACAGTGAATACCTGCAGTTAACATTTTGACTAGAACTTTCTATCATGAAACCTGAATTCATTTAAAAATGGTCAAAAAAGGGGAAAAGTATGTTGCAGATGGAAGGAAGCATCTGCGAGCATATAAGCTGTGTATATTCTTGAAGAGCATCAAAAGCCATTTCAAGATGCCTGTCGGCATCCGTAGATTTAGAATAGAGCCTTTTTAATTTTTAGATAACACTCTCTGATATAAGTCGATAAAATATGCCAGCCGACTCTGTATTTAAAAGCTATATACAGGGTATACAAGGTATATTCCCAGTTGAGCACTCGAGCATTCTAATTTAGTTTGTTGTGCTTCACAAATATATGTGTAAATTGGATTCCCAAAAGTGACTAGGTCTCTGACCGTTTATTCCCCAAAAAACTTTGCCACTTTATTAAGCTTGACAATCTCGTCTTGCTGAAAAGTAAAAAGTTTTCCATTGATTGTCGGCCGTGTCAAAAACAGGCAACAACTTTAACAAATGCGATGAAGGCAAAAGAAAATAAAATGAAAAGGGAAAACTGATTCCACGAAAATATCATGCAATGAAATACGAATGCCCTTAATGGGCAACAAGCATATGTAAATATAACAATCTACCACGGGCCATTAAACAAAGGAAATTGAACACAGAAACAAAGACAGACCAAAAAAATAACAACAAAATCTTGTCAAAAGCAAGATAAACAGCAATTTAATAGTAAGGCTACCAAGATAAACAAAATGAGAGACATTAATAGCTTTGCTAACAGTTAAATACCCTAATGCCTAATGCCACATGCATCAAATATTGATACAAATTATGGGGGCAAGTTACACTCTGCCCAAATTAAAGTCAATTTTGTTAAACTGTAATTAACATTTTTGATAAGATTATTTAATTATGCTTAAAGCTAATTGAATAAACAATTACTCACACTTCAATATTAGTAGAAAACTTTTTATGCCAATTAAAAAACGGGTGAGTTTAAGGCGAGAGTCAATTAAAGGCACTGCTTTAAAGGAAAATTATTTAAGAAGACGATTTTGAAATGCAGCACTATACTCGAAAAAATGCGATGGAATCTAAGGCTGTAATTGTTAATCAGTTTTTATGTTATAATGAAAAGGATCCATCCAAAAATGTCAGAGTACATCTGCATTTTTGAAATAAATAGAATGGAAAGATTTGAAAAAAGGTTTATTAGCAGATATGCTAATGTATCCTTTTAATGTATTTCCTCTCGCAGTTTTATGGCTCCTTTCTGCAAGTATTATCGTTGTCCCATTTAAGACAGCATCACAGTGTTGGTTAACACATTCACACACACTGTTACACACACCATTGCATACAGTTAAAACACTATGCTGCTGGCAGAGTATTAAGAAACTTGATCATTAAAGCGCAATATGCCCGGACACTTGTTGTTTGCACATAAGGTAACAAAGAGAATAAGAAGTGGGCTATTAGCACACACATACACACACACACACACGCACACACACACACAGACAGGCACACACTTAAACGAGCGCTTGGGGCCATGTGTGTATTTGTGTGCATGTTGAAAGGCAAAAGTTGCAGCCTCAATTTTGTGATGCCTGCTGCCAATAACTCAGCATGTCAACAAATATTGAGCAGCTGCCTCCAGCGTTGACCTTCGCTTCCCCATCTCGCCATCCCCATCACACCCGTCTTCCTTGGCTCACCCTCACTTTTTATTGATGTCACGCGCCAGGCTATCAAAGTCCTTGCAGCATTCTATTTTTTTTTTGCATTAAAAATGCATTAATCCGAGACAAGTGATAAATATTCATGGGTCTGCAGAGTTGAGTATTACTATATCTATTTTATATGAATGCAATTTGCAATTGCAGCCTAAAGTGCAATATTTTATCATACACTCTGCTTTTTCCCTACAGAAGGTCTGTTTGCGGGTAGGTGTGTTTCTGTGTGAGTGTGTCTACATAGACATGTGTGTGTTGTGTGTGTGTGTCAGTGAGTGTAAGTTACAAGGGCGTGTTCGTGTTTGAGTGGCCAGGGCCAAGGTAAACACTAAATGCGCTCTCAGCTCGAGGCCAGCTTTCATTGTTTTCCAACACAAATCTCCGCCAAACATGTACACTAAATTCTAACGGGACTTAAACGGCGTGCCACAAATGTTAAGCTAAATGTGGGCGTTGAATAATATTTGTCTTTTCCGCCCAGTCACCTGCCTGTCTCGCAAGTGTGACGTCTCCTCAAAGTCGGAAATAAAACAATGTAGAACATATAAATTATCAAATGAAAATGTGAAAAATATTTCTTAATATGCCCTGACTACAGATATTACGGGTATAATAAAAGGAAGCATCTCCGAGATGATAAAGTATATATAAAGTAGATAATAATCAAGCCATACGAGCCATCAATGGCTGTATGATCAAACCGAGAGACTATTAGATTAGATACTTCCTGAAAGATTATTTATTTATTATTTATTTCCGAATTATCGATTCAAATCGATTACAACAATTTTGAATATTTATCGGGAAATCGGGAAATCTTTACATGCATACATATATACATCCACATAATGAGTTGGGGAAAATATTGTATTTCAGCGCGCCTCACCGACGAGCACTCGCGACTAGCCGCCGGGGAGTTTATGAATTGGCTATCAATTTTGTCAACGTGGGCCACGGTGCGTATGCGTGTTGCATGAACTCATGAATCCCCAATCAAACTGATAAATATTCAATTATTTTTGTGACTCTGGGCAGCTCAATGTGCACTTTGTTTCTATTAGAAGCTAAGCCTTTTCAATTAATTGGAATTAAACTTTAATGGACTCAAAATAAAGCTGCTGTGCTAATAAATCAATTTTTGCAGAGAATCGAACGTTTTTTATTAAGAAAATTGTTGTCTTTGTCAGAGGAAATTTATGAAAACATATGCTTCAAGTTCTTTAATTCAATAAACTTAAGATAAATGACTTGAAAATAAGTAGAAAGGTTAAACAAACTTTGCAAGTTATATGATATAGTATCATATGTGAGATGCGTATTAGTAAAGTTTTCACCACAAAAACTCATTTTCCTATCTGACCAGATCTGAATTATGTTTTGCCCGTTGCAAAGAGATGTACATATGTCAAGTTTCATCAAGATAGATAGATAGATAGATATGGAACTCAGTAACTTGTTCCAATTTAGTCAAGGTATAAATGTGGAATCCAATAATTATTTTCACTAATAGTTCGAGGTTACACAATATAGCACGTAGTTGGGTTAATTAATGTACATAAGTAAATATATAAGCCCACTTCTTAGAATATAGCACGTAGTCAGGTTCCTTAATATATATAAATGAGTATATAAGCGCTCTGATATGGCACGTATTCAATTTCATTAATTTGTCATTATTTTGTTATATTAAACGATAACCGTTTTGTCTCTTTAAGGACTCTAAGACCACAAAAATGTTTGCCACAATCGATGTCATTATTCGCTTCAGCTGATGGAAAAACATATTGTGTGAATTATTTTTAATCTCCCCATTCAAAAACCATTAGATTTAAAACTCAATTTTACACTTGAAGGATTTCCACACAATATATTTCAGCTTGCAGCTTTAACACTTACCAGTTATTTGTGCTTGTTTAGCAATGTGTTACAAACACACACATACACACACACACACACACACGCACACCCAGTCAGAGGGACAAGCTAAACAATTTATGTTCTCGGAATTGCTGCACGCAAATGTTATTCGCAACAATATGTTGACTTATCCTGCCGCTCGACGTGTCGTATGCGCAATATGCTCTAAAAGCAATCACCAAAGCCCGGCATTCTGCTCGTATTTGGAAAACCGTTTTCAAAGTAATTTAGTTAGTTGTCTGCGTGCATCAATATTTAATTGTATTAGTTCAGAGACAGAGCACTTTGTTAAACGATATTTCAATATATATATAACTTTATATATATTTTTCTGATGCGTCTCGAGAGCAGCAACAACTTGGCCAACGCGTTGCTCAAACTCGACTGTGTTGTTGTTCGCCAAAATATTACACACAGTTCCATTTTGCTGTTGATTCCCACACACACACACACACACACACATACACCAGCACACAAACACACAGACTTACACCTAGTCAGAAAGTTTCGCTTCCTATCTGTTAGCAGTTGCTCTTATCAGAGATAAGCTATTAATATATATATATTTTTTTTATTTGTGAGATTTCTATAAATGTTTTTCAATTCATTATCTTTTGGTTTAGTATAATTTTCCTTAATATATATCATAAACCGGCATTTTTTTGATTTTGAACGCAAAAGAATATGCAACGTTTGTTGTGAGTGCGAAAAGTTTGCGGCAAAAGCTTCGGTGCACAAGCAACAGCTGCCTCATTAGTCAAAAGCTCGCTCACGACCAAGCCAATTGTTGCTCAATGTCAACAACTGGCTGCTGTCGCAAGCTCGTCAAGGAAAACAGAAAGCTTTGCTGTTAACAGTTACGATTGGCGTTGCCACAGGTGCGCAAATTAGTGATTTCTTTATTATTTATTTGTTATTATACTTTTGTTAGAAATGACTGAACGATTTGAAGAATTTATCTCAGCTTAGACTTATGCTTTTTAGGAATTAATATATAAATTAATAAACTTATGTAGTTTATGTAGTGAAATTTTAGTCCATGATATATTTCCTAGTCGTTAGAGAAGGACATTTATTTCTTGTTTACAGACTCTGCAACATTTTTTTCACATAAATTAGGCATGGGAAAACACGTTAAATTAAAAACAAAACAAATTTTTAGAACAACTTTGTATGCCAACTAAGAAAAGATTGAGATTAAGGTGCGATTCCATTAAAGGCACCGCGCTTAAGGAGAACATTAGTTAAGAAAATTGCTTCGAAATGCAACAATAAGAGTTTTTAGGCATCCAGATTTGTTAGTCACCTAAATATAGAATCAATACGTAGATACTTTGCTTGACACGCTGAGCTGCACGTTATTTATAACCTTGAACTTGTATTAGTAATGTTTGTCAGTCAATCCCATTAATGTACAAACTGCTGCTCTGAAATTGATTTATTCGCACGCTATTGATAAGGGGACTTATTCAATTTGCAGCAAGCAATACGTCTATGATTATTAAACTTTAGATTTGATAGCATTGCTGGGCTTCTAAAAAACTTGATGGGCGGATTCGATCCAGCTTATGTAGAAATGTTTACAGGATATGTCATCATCAAAACGTCTTAATTACTTATTTCTTAGACAGTCGTGTCTTCGAATACACGACCCAGATTAAGACGAAATAAAAATACCCGGATTAAAAAAATAGACTGCAGACCCAATTAAAAAGAAATTTGAAATTGTTATACCATTTTTTTTATAACTTTTTAATCTGATACCAAGTAGACACATAAAAAATGGAACACTTGGTTGGCTTTTGCATTATCTCAAGTTCAAACGTATGATGAAATATGATATGCATGGCGTTTGCCAAACACACACAAACAAATGCTCGTGTCGACCTCTAAGTCAAAGTCAAGTCGCGTAACCCACTTAAAAACGCACACACACACACGTACACACACACACACACACACACACACACGCGCAATCATCGCTTAATACTTTCGATTATACATCTAATTACGCATTGAGCTAATTGCGGTCGGTTGTGCGAAGTTCGATGTTGATCTTAACATTGCCAACCCATATCAAATTGCCTCAGTTATAACACTCGACTATAGACAATTGCGCACATTATTCATGTTATATTACATCCACTTATTGTTCATAATATTTTGCACATTTTCTTCAAGAATCAATAATATTTTTCAGCAATTTTTAATCTGTATAAAAATATTTATTTATTTATTATTTATATATATTTACATATAAGTCAAATTGAATTTTAAGAATGTTATATTTAACTCTACTTTAAGTTCAATTTGTGCAGGGTATACAATAAATGAATTCATTAACAATTTTTAATTAACATGCAGCTGCTTCTTGGGACAGTTCCAAAAAACATTTATAGTTCAATGAAAAATCATAGATTACTTTCCTATGTGTGTCAAACAAAATGTTTGTGCCCATTTCGATGTGCGTCACAATTTTTTTGAGAAATCCGGCTGAAGCCAGTTGGTAATCAACTTTGAGTTCTGAGCTCGTGTTCTTTGTGCTTACAAGTTTAATTTGCCTAAGAAGACACAAGTGAACTCTTGGGGCGATATTTCAAATGCTGAGACAGCTAATAACATTTGAATAATCTCAGCCAGAGTTCAATTTGGTATTTTTGTGCTCGACGAACAAATAATAATCAGTAATATGTATATTCTACATCATTTATATTTATTTATACTCCATTAACCTTTCGCAATTATTTACGTCATTATTTGCAGCATGCAATTCATCAGAATGCAATGATAATAATCGAAGGTGATTGACTTTTAAACCTTGTGTACTTAGCGTAAAACTCAATTAATAATTTCAACTCACGCGTACTTGAAATGCTCGACTAAATGGTATCTAGTATATTTAAGTGTGTGGCATGCTACACTCTCAGCTGTCCTGTAATTATTTGTATGCGTGTTTCCTTCGCATTCAGAAATATTTAACTCGTATATTTATCGAAATTGCATTCCACAACTCAACTTACAGTTAATATTGATATTCATTGTAGTTTATTGTACAGTCTCTACAGATCAAGAACATATTGACTTTATGGATGTGGAGATGCCTCCTTCTGTCTGTTACATACACTTGCTCGACTTCAAAACACCCGTTTCACTGATTTTCAAGGCTTTCAGGGTATAGTATGAACAACCTTCTTTACTTTTTCTTTTTTTTTTTTGTATGTTTCCCTCTGAATTTCTGAATGAGACGAGTTTATATAATACATAAAATTGAAAAAACAATTGTTCATTTTGAAAATACGGATGAACAGCGTCGAGTATATTGTCTTCCTATTTCCTATTTTCATTCAGATTCTTAAGAAAGCATTTTGGTTTGAGATTGAAAACTTATAAATAATTGCGTTAGTCACAAGGCAGTCACAAATTATTAACTATTGGTTTATATTTCTTTATTTTATTTTCTTGAATAAAATTCACAATTTTATTTTTAGAATGATTATTTTTGTAAAACGAGATTATATATTATCTTCCATATTGTAATCATAAGTCGCATATGTGACGTCTTCTTTGGAGGCTCTAACTTGAAACTAATTCCAACACAAGTATTTGTGTAACAAATCTGTCTGGCTGTGGTCAACTTCGATCGACGTTGGCAAGTGAAGGGAAGCCTTATCAGCGCTCGATGCTTGGCAAAGATTCACGTGTTGTCACTTATAAAGTGATTACAGCTGCCAGCGAGACCCACACTCGATTGCCAGTAGCCACATGAGGCGCAACTAAACCGGACTGGAACACAACTCAAACACCAAACAAAAGCGAGAGAGAGAAAGAGAGACAGAGTGAGAGAGAGAGAGAGAGACTTTGACTAGTGGACGCTCCAATTGACACGCAAAGTGACGTCACGCTGCGATAGTAGTTGTAGTAGTAATAGTAAAAGTGAAAGTCTAGACGAGAAACACAAAACCGGAATCAAAATGTCATCGGCATTGACAAATCTGTTGCAAACGCTGCGCCTTGGACCTCTGACCCCGTCCATCAAATCGAAGCCGGGCTCGGATCTGATTATGATCGAGAAAACCAAAGCGAAACTGGAAGTGAAATTGGTGCCGGAAATCACATTGGAGGAGGTGGCACATCACGACAGCTATGACGATTGCTGGATTGTGATCTATGATCGGGTCTACGATGTGACACACTTCCTGCGCGAACATCCTGGCGGCGACGATGTCATCATGGATCATGCCGGACGAGATGCGACAATTGCATTCCATGGCACCGGCCACTCCCGTCATGCAGTCGAGCAAATGCGTCAATTCCTCATCGGTGAACTGCCCGCCGCACAGCGCATCTTTCGCACCAGCAAGCACCGGATCCTCTCCTCGGGCATACCAGAGTGATGTGATGTGATGTGATCTGATGTGATGTGAAACAACAACTAAATACTTCCTAACTGAATTGTCAGCCGTCCGAATTTCTTCCTTTTATTTGTTTTGTGTTTATTTATTTTGCATTCTGTGTAATACCATATTATTTAGCTTTTACTCTTTAATCTGTGTTTTTCACGTTCAACTAAATATAGTATAATATTTGCATAAGCATTTTATAGACTTGCTACACAGATTACATTGTTTTTGTTATTGCCGTTTTCGATGTGGCTGCACATTTTTGTTGTTTTGAGTACTTAAGTCTGGCTGTGCCAAATGTTTTCAATATTAAATGTTTATTAATCCCAAACAAAATGCATTCAACAGCGCTTTGCAATGCAAATCACTTGTTTTGTGAATGTCTACGGGAAATGTCGAAGATACGTTTTATAGCCACTCCGATCAGCATCGAAAGACGAGTGTATATAACTCGTCTGTCCTCATATACTATATACCAATAATTTGAATAAGCACACTTTTGCTGCAGTATTGTTTAAACCAGGCCTACACTGCCATGGAAAGGCCTCTTTCAGTAGAACATTTTAACACAACGAATACATTTCAGTTGTCAAAAATTGCATTATTCTCATAATATTCCACAGTCCAAGTCAAGATCAGTTCAGTTTTGACAAAGGTAGAGCCCGACTCTGAATGCAATTCAAAATAGTAGAAATGCGCCAAGTTGCACATTATTTGCCAACGTTTCCAATTCTAATCTTAAATCTTAAAACTAACTCGCAAATACTTGAATATCATAACAAAAAAAAACAAAAAACAAAAAACAAAAAATAACAAAAAAATAGTTAACGTCAGCATTACCATTCAGAATTGTTTTCGAATAGAGTCTGCTACTTAGTATTGTTGTTCATGAACGTATATTTATTTGTCGTACTGATTATAGTCATCTTAAAATCTATACAGACATTATCATTAAGTATGTAAATGCATAAAAGGAATGCTTATATTTATAAAAGAACTAAATATCACTTAACACATTTGCTCAACCTCTCTTCTCATGACTAGTACACAAATTGACTTCAATATATATATATATACACATATATATATATATATATTCGTATTGCTTCTCTAATTAATTGGCCTTTGCTCGTTGCGAGCATTATTTAACTGCTGCCACTTGTTGGTGGCTCATTGTGAGGTCCTTGCAACAGCGCCTGCAACTTGGCCGCTGCCGGAAATGCGCCCAAATCCAAAGGAGCTGCTCCCGTAGTGCTTTGTATATATGCGAGTAGTCTGAAAATGCAAATGCAAAGCTCATTCATGATTTCATTCGGATAGTCGGTTTTAGGGGTTTGTTTACCTGCGTAGCTCCTCCAGCGCATTCTGCTGCATCAGTATATAGTTCTTGGCCAGCAGCAGGGTGGCAATTTTGGATAGTTTACGCACTGAGGGTGAGTGCGCATAGGGAATCACACTGCAAATAAATAAATATATAAATCAATATATATATATCTATATATAAATATGAACAAGTTGAGGGCGCTCAACTAGGGAATACCCTGACACAGATGTTAAATACATAGTTTGTAGTTTGTATAAAAAACCAACGTTTACCATCGATCAAAAATATGTCTGGGTACTTTATATATCAAGTAGAAGGCTATATCTTAACAATTGTGTCGTTAATTGTCATTGGAAATCGATTTGTATCGATATTCGGGAAGCGTTGAAAGTTATCGATAAATCAAAACAAACTTTGTGTTTGGTTTACAAGAACTTAAATGCCAAATTTGAAGTCTCTAATATTTATATACTCTGCTATCAGCTTATCCAGGCAGACGAACAGACGGACATTGCTAAATCGATTCAACTTTTGATGCTGATCAAGAATATATACAGTTAATGGGGCTCGGGATGCTTACTTCTGCCAATTACATACTTTTACTAAACATCTTTAAGCATTTTGAAGGGTTCGCAGTATAATCATGAAGTACTCCACTATATATATATATTTATCTGTTTTACCTTCGCAACTCGTCCAGGGCATCATTCAAATCGTGCATTCTTCTGCGCTCCCTGGCATTGATATTCAGTCGCACCGTTTTGCCCTGACGATTCTTTTGCTTGCCACCATTGGCACCACTGCCACCCGGGCCACCGGACAGAGCACTGCCAATGCTGGACATGGCCGCTGTGGTGGTACCACCGCTGATTGCTGCAATTGCCATAGCAGTAGGACTCAGCGGCTTATCCGCCGCACTCGGTCCCGGCTTATTCTCATCCGTGGACGTCTGCTGCTGCTGCTGGGACATGCCCATGCCTTGGGCATAGAAGCCGCCCAGACCCACCGAGCCGAGTGGTGTGCGACGTCCGGGCACACTCTGCGGCGGACTGGCCGTAGGGGCGGGATGTCCGTGTGCCCCAAGCATATTGGCCGTGGGCGGGATCGGCATGTGTCCATGGCCAGGCAGTCCAGGAAATCCAAATGCCAAATTCGAAGGATCCATTTGAAAAATCACGTCTTGTTTTTAACCCTGCAAGTGCAAAAAATACCCTTTTAAAGGCAGAACTGGCTGAAGTGTGTGTAATTTGAGGGTAGTCGCCACAGCAGGGTTGTCAACACAGTCAATGCTCCAGTTGCGCTGCCATCTGGCGGTCAGTTAAGCAAGCTTCTGCATGCACAAAGTCTGCAACAGATGGCGCTGTGTGTGTGAACGAATTTTTAAATAAAATATCAAGTAGATTTATAAGTTACTTGATATACTTTGCTGGTTTGCTTGAACTATTCAATAGTAATTGATTTGTGTGTTTAATATTATTATAATTTGACTAGTATTATTATGGTAGATATCAAATATAGATTATTTTTGTATTCAAGTTACTATTGTAGATTTTTCCTTTTTTTTCATATTTATTTCAGAGTTTGTTAATTCAATTAAAATTATAACTCACTTGCTTTTAAATAGATATTAAAATAAAACTTTATGTTATTTATTTATTATACAAATAATTAACTAGTTTTTAATACTTTTAATTTAATTGAATTCAATATTAAATTATGATATACTTCAGTTATTCAATTTATTTTTGTCCACTTTAACTTATTCATAGCTATTATAAATGAATTATTGGCTTCACTTTGAACTCGGCTCATATCAAAATAACTATGCCACACTTTAAGGATTATTTATTTAAATGAACCGCAAATCACAATCACAATACAAGTGCCGCAGCAGAGCGAGACGGCAATATGGAAACATAAATATCCATATATATATATATATATATATATATATATATATATATATATATATAAATATATGTGTAAAGTATATATTAAAAGACACGCACCACAAAATTAAAATGCTGCCGTTGCCGTTGATGCTGTGGCAGGATTCGAATTCGATGCGCGAGTGAGTGTGAGTGGTGAGTGGCAGTGGCAGTGCCAGTGCCAGGAGTTGCGGGTGCCGGCCAAAACAACACAGCACACAACCGCGATTTTGTGGTGTATATGCCAACTTATAACGTATAACGATTTTTCCAATTTTTCGCTGCTGCTGCTGCTTTTGCTGCTGCTGTTGCTGCTGCTGCCAACGCCAGCAACGCAGCTCCGATTATAATTTTTGTGCCTCGCCGTCGCCGACGTCTGCGTTGCCTGGTGTTAATCTCAGCAGTGAAAGAATATTACGAGCACACTTACAACACACACACACAAACACAAACACACACACACACAGATACACACACTCATCAACACACACACAAATGAAATGTGTAAATGTGTGCCGCTCTGGTCTCTGGCGTTGACGTCGGTTGGTGGTTGACGTTTAGTGGTTGTCGTTAGACTCGTAATGCAGCATTCAAACCAATACCAGCCCACCAGCCAGATGGAAAAACAGTTTTTACAACGTTGAAAGTTGAAATACCCTTTAATCGGCATTTGCAGGCGTGTTTCAATTTGCGAAAACGAAAAAGGTTTCCGTCTTAATTTTTCTGGATGCTCCAATTTTCAAAAGCGGAAAATCTTTGGCGCACTCCTTATAATTGTTATCGGTGAACAGACATCAAATCAATTTAAATCTGAGCACACATAATGTAAATTCCCAAATACGTTGCATACGTTGGGGCACACCTCTCATTTGTTCAACCAATCGGTTATCAGTTGTTTTATGATTATATAAGCTAATGGCTTACTCATTATGGTGTGGCATATTATTATATGATCACTATGATGATACCATGAAGTACTTGAATTATCACATTTATTTTATTTCATATTTTTCATATATATTTATTTATATTTAAAATTATTTTAATTTACAATACAACTTTTTGTGGGTTATCAAAAACAAGTTGCTAGAAATAGTAATGAACAAATTTCGAAGTTGATGCTGTACTTGATAAAGAGACATGAAAACCACTAAAAGGGTATACAAAAAGTGGCTATGAATCTGTTTACATAGCACTTTTAATGCCAAAAGATTCTTGTTGGCATCGTTTTGTTTTCACATATATATTTTTTTTGCAACCCTGCCACGAACTACGTTAGGAGTTAGGAGGCAGGCAGGGTTCGTTTCGCTTTGTCTCTGATTTCAATTTCCATTGAAACTGAATCTAATCACATGCTTGCCACCGTCGCCACCGCCGCCGCCGCCTGCTGATGCTGCTGCCGCTGCTGCTGCCTGCCCCGTGACAAAGCCATTCCCCTTTTGCGCCCATTTTGGGGGTTGAACGCTTGCTCGCTCGCTCATGCATCATAATACGAATTCGAATGCCCAGCAGCAAAAACAACAACTATATCTGCATGTAGTTTGATATATGAATGTGCGGGTCCATTCCTGGTGTGTGTGTGTGTGTGTGTGTGAATGTGTGTGTCTGTAAATTATGTTATCGCATTGTTCAAAGTTGGGAACAATGCCAGGCAATGGCGTTGTTTCAACGGGGCCAGTGTTGTACAGCGGCCAAAACAGTAATCGATGCTTGTTACAGGAATCGATGCTTTCAACTCCAGTTGCTAGTGTAGATAAATTTGTATAAATATATATATATTTCAAGCAGCATTTACATCTTCCTTGTGTATATCCTTTTGTAATGTTTATTTTTTATTTTGTTTTTAAAGACTTATTATTACTTTCTACTTTGAATTTATACTTTATTTTACATAGCAGATTCGAATTAAATTTCATTTCCTTTTTCGCTTTCATTTGGATTATTTTTGACGCTGAGTTTTTCATAATGATATAAATGTTTTTTTTTTTCTTTTACAAGATATTTGCAATGTTTAAAATGTTGGCTTTTGTTTACAGTATGCATATATAATTTTTTTTCTTATTTAGTTTGCTTTTAAATGAGGTTATTTTTTGCACTGAATTTGTATATAATTTTATTTTGTGTTTTTGCTGGCACTATATTTATATAAGGCATGTATACATACATACATATATTTACATTTGTATATGGGGGTAGGTAGTGGACGGGATCATGAGGAATCTCGTTAAAATTTACATAATTTATGCACGACCGTGATTTGCATAATTAAGATTTGTACATTTGCGTCCAGTCATGATTCGTTCATTCTCTCATTCATTCATTCATCCATTCGCTCATTCGTTGCTGTTTTGGTTGTGTTTTAGCATAGTCGGGATATTTCCTTTTGTGAGCATATAATTACAAATGCTAAATGGCAGCAGCCCAGCTTTAAATTACGACCCCAAAAAGTATCTTTTCATTCCATGTGGGGGAAATGCTCCCAAAAGCGTATCCATCATTAGTATTTTATTTGTTGCCATACCCAATTTGGCAACATTTGCAGTTTTTCTTTATGGCCATCTCATCTCATCTCATCTCGTCGTGTCGTGTCGTGTTCTCGTTTACCTTATTATCGATGATGGGTTTTACTCGCATGCCATATTTATGGGGCCGCCTTGAAAGTTGCTTCTAATGATTCCCCAGCGTATCATTTTGAAGGTACGAGCGTGCACTATGGCTTCCAAATGATTAGCCATTCTCCCCTATCGAATAAAACAAAAAACACACACATATTTATTTGTGTTACAAAGATGTGTCAATTGTACGCTGGGGAAATTGCAAGCCTCTCGCAAAATACAACAAAATATTTATATCTCACTTCATGAGTCGCGTTGCCTCTTCGATATAAGCTCTTTTCTCGGACATGAACTTGTCAGCTTGGTTTTTTTATTTTATTTATTTATTTATTTTTGTCTTGCCCCATTAGCAAATGTTTGCACGCAGCAGCAGCAGCAGCTTTAATTGGATTACCAAGGCAATCCCAGCTTGCTTTTGCCTAGCACTGCGTACACCGGAATGCAACTTTGCGAATTGTTTTCGATTTAAAGTTTTGATAGAAAAACTTAAGCAAAATATATTTCTTACGTTTGTGTTTATTTTTTGTTTTCCTTAGGTGTTATTTGTGTAGTTGCATTGGTTGCCTTTCGAGTTGAGCCAGAGTTGTTCATACAATTAAAATGCCATTCATTTGTATTGTATTTTCATGACTATTGTCTGAATAAAATTTGCTGCTTGGAAATACAAATCTAAAATAAATAAATTTTATATATAATCAGTTAGTCTATAATTATTTAGCAGTTGTGCGGGTCTTTGAGTTTTTATTGATTACATCTAATGTTCAGCAGAAGAGGGGCGCCCTTCTAAAAAAAAAAAAAATAACACAAAATCCAGGAACAAAGAAACAGCGTGCAATATTTTATCAAATTATGCGATGTATACAACATCCTTTGCATTGTTGCTTCAACACCCCTGTGGGATGAACACATTGCCATTACCACTCCCAGAGCACCGAACAGTTCGCAATCCCAATCCCAATTCCAATCCCAAGCCCAAACTCAATTCTCCATCCACCCAGCGAACGCACTTACAATTTATCAGCATCAAATGGAAACCAAACAGAGTCGTGTCCTCAGTCAGAGCAGTTGTAGAATGAGTGCTCTACGGCAACAGCAACAGCAACAACAGCAGCAGCAACAGCAACAACAATAACAATGCCTGCAACAGCAATTCGAATTAAAATGCTGCCGGATGAGGTATGAGGATGAGGAATGAGGAATGAGGCAACGAATGCGAATGGTTAGATTGGGCAGGGTATGTGAGTGCGAATGTGCCACCCCGTCAAACGCAGCATCATCTCATCTCCACATCGATCGTCAACGTCATCGTCGTCGTCGCCTTTTGCAAAAGGGTGGTTTTTGTCGACGTTATTGTTGTTTCTGTTTTTATACGCAATACCCATTAAAAGTGTTAGCTACAAAGATGGTTTAATGAGCCGAGTAGCAAGTATATGATAAATTGTTTACTTAATGAGATTTATGATAAGAAAATGAAACGTTATCTGTCATAATAAATATAAAAAAATATTAGATAAAGAAGCTTGTTTTACCTATTTACAAAAAAAAGATTAACTAGGTCTTTAGACTAGAAGCTATGCCCATTAAAAGTATTATGTACAAAGCAGATATAATAAACTGAGTAGTAAGTAGAAGATGGATTTTAGCTTTCTTTGTGAGATACTCAATAAAATATTATATTTTTTTTATGCCAACTTTTTACAACATTATAATATATATTAATAAAAAACCGAATACAAATGCCTGTTTTGATTATGATTGTCCTAACTAAACTAGACGCTGTATCCCGTAGAAACTAAGTATTCCTTATATAGATATTCGAGTTGTGCTTTCTAGTACATCTTTTTAGTAAATGTTGCTCAATTATTAAAATATGTCAATTTAAAATTCAAGAAGTATTTTTTTTTTTGACTAGATAATAATAGCTTATTTTAAACATTTATATTATTTTATATTTAGAGCAGTTTAACCTAATTTTGTAGGAGCACCTCCTGTCATACACAGCCAAGTGGTGCCTCTTTTTCAAAAAGACGCTTGATTCTTAGCCATTACAGAGTATTGAATAGTCGTTTAATTGATTGTTGTCTGCTTGCTAAATTGTTCTATACCGTTTATATATTTTTGGATCGTTGCTGCAAATGCCTACGAAATGTTATACAAACAACAAGCTTAGTGGCGTAAACGCAGCAGAAAAGTTGCAAAAAGGGACAAAAACAAGCATCAGAAACAGATTCGGAATCTGGAATTGAAGCTACAACTTTTGACAAGTTTCGCAATGAAAGTGCGCACAAATTCGATAAGTAAAACTGGGACTGGGACTGAGACTGGGACTGAGACTGGGACTGGGACTGAGTCAGCGCACTTTGCGTAAGTTTGGTGGCGCTACGACTCTCGTACTGCCACTTGCCCCGCTTCTACATGTATTTTGTGGCTGTTTTCTGTGTCTCTCGTGGATTGCACTAAGAGTTCGTGCCACACACGCACATTTTTGATGCTGCCACTCGTACCTGCAATTACGATGCCACAGACTTAGCTCATATGCATGTATTTAAGTGTGTGTGTTTGTTTATTGCCAAGGTAATCACTGAATTTGGAAATTTCCATCTGAAGTCAACTCCGTGTGGTTCCTGTTGCTGATTGTGATGAATTATGCACCAAACCCATTGTGAGTATGCACAATGTG